AGACAGAGGGAGTCTGGCTCTCCAGTTTCTGCTCAATCTGAAAACTCTACCTCAGATACTCTCAGGTGGCCTCTCTCTGTTACTTTCCCATGATCTAGGTGTCCCCTTGACCTGGCACACATCTGTGTCTCCAATTTGAAGTGATCCCTGCCTAGCTGTTTCACAGCTCCTTTCATCCCCTTGAGAGTGACCATGTGCATTCTATCTCTGCAGTCCCCATGGAGGCTGTGAACATGTCCTTGGGCCTCTCCCTGGCGACTGCCATCAACCCCTCACAGTTGCTGGTGAGTTATTCTGGGTCACAGGAGGGTCTTGAGGGGAGGAATGGGGACCTGAGGCTATTGGGGCTGGGGTCTTGTGGGAGGTGGAGGTGCTGCTATGAAAGGACAGGGAGCAGAGCAGCTCCTTCCATTGGTACCCTGTCCCTCAGGCCTGTGGCCCCACCGTGCACCAAACTTGCAAGGAGAACACATATGTGAATGGCTTCTGCTTCCTATTTGGATCCAACCTACTGCGGCAGCCCCAGAGGTTTCCAGAGGCCCTCAGAGGTATGTGCCTTTTGGTAGAGACTGGAGGATAGAGGGTAGGACTGAGCTTGTGGTCTAGGGGATAACTTAGAGGTCTAGGTGCAGAAGGATGGGGAAGCCATTCCATTAAAAAGAATTGGTGGTGGGGACGGGGTAGGAGAGACTCACTTTAAGGAAAGTCCTGATATAGTTACTTACCTCTGCAAGGGGATCAGGCCACTTGACTTCATAGATGTCCCAATCATTGTCCTTAGAGTAAGTGCCTGTTCTCCTGCCTTTGATGTTCTAGATGGTATAGCCCCTGCTTACTTCTCCTACTCCCCCCATGCATTCTACCTCTGTCACTGCTTCAGCTACTTTAGCTGACTTTCTTCTTCAGGAATCACATCAACCTGTCCTTGCCTCAGAGCCTTTGCGATTGCTATTCCTTTAGCTAGGCATGCTCTTCTCCAGATCTCTTATTTCCATGTGTATCCATTTTGTTGTATGTATCATTCTTTTTATACCAATGAGTGATATTCCTTTGCATGGATTTACCATAGCCCCATTCACCAGTCCATTTGTTAACACCAAAGGATGTTTGAGTTGTAAAATGTTTGGCGATCATGAATAGAGTTTTATAAACTCCATGCTAATCTTTCCTTTTTTAAAAAATTAAATTATTTATTTATTCTAATTTGGTATACATGATGGCAGAATGCAATTAATTTCATATTACACATATAGAGCACAATTTTTCAAGTCACTGGTTATATATATTTTCACACCATTTGTGTCTTCATACATGGACTTAGAGTAATGATGTCTAACTCATTCCACCATCATTCCTATCCCCTTGCCCCTTCCTTCC